CCATTGGGTCCATCCCCCTCAAAAAAAACCCCTTGTGGAAGTCATTTCACCCCCAAGACTCCATGTGGAGGCTCTGACCCAGCACCACACACCTGGTGCCCCTGGGGAAACCTTGGAAGATTGATCCAGCAGGGGAAAGGAGCGAGGGAAAGTGAGGATGGAAGGGTGAAACCTCCCCATGGAGCCCCAGAGGCTGAGAAAAACAGGTTCTGTGTGGGCAAGAGCATTTCTCAGGCTGGAGCTGCCACACCGAGGCCACCCAGTCCCTCCCTGCCCTGGGGAGCCCTGAGGTGCCCTGAGGGCATCGAGTCCAGGCCGTCCCAGCCCGAGCAGGGCTGGGAGCAGAGGGAATTCTCGGGGGGCTGTGTGTGAGCAGGGCCCGTGGTGGGAGGAGCAGTGCCTGAGCCAAGGTTTGGGGGTGTAAGCCCCAGCACGAAGCTGCTGTGAGTGTCTCATGACTTGCAGCGACGAGTCTGGGCAGTTCCAGCTCATGGTGCTCCCTCTGCTCGGCTCTCCCTGCTCCCAGCCGCTCCCTCCTGGCTCTGGGGCACGGATTCAAACAGGCTGGGGAGGGCTGGAATGCACCAGGCTAATTACAGCCTGCGTCTCCCTCCTGCCGGGGAGGGGGTGGGGAGGGCAAACCTGTTTGGGTGCTGGGAGCAGCTCCTCGCTCCCAATCCTCCCTCCTGGGAAGGGAAAAAAGAGGATCTAGGGGTGTTCTGTGCAGGGGCAGGTGGGAGAATTGTCCTCGGGATGGTTTGTCATGGAGTGAGGGAAGTCACAGATTTGGCTCAGAGCTGGTGTGTTCCCTCCTGCCTGGGGCACTGGTATCAGGCTGTTGATCCCAGTTCTCCCTCCTGGGAAGGGAAAAAAGAGGATCTAGGGGTTTTCTGTGCAGGGACAGGTGGGAGAATTGTCCTCGGGATGGTTTGTCATAGAGTGAGGGAGTCACAGATTCGGCTCAGTGCTGGTTTCTTCCCTCCTGCCTGGGAGGGCAAACCTGTTTGGGTGCTGGGAGCAGCTCTTGCTCCCAATCCTCCCTCCTGGGAAGGGAAAAAGGAGAATCCAGGGGTGTTTTGTGGAGGGGCAAGTGGGAGAATTGTCCTCAGGATGGTTTGTCGTGGAGTGAGGGAGTCAGATTTGGCTCAGAGCTGGTGTGTTCCCTCCTGCCTGGGAGGAGGTTGGGATAGCAAACCTGTTTGGGGCTCTGGAATCCAAGTTTTTTCTCCTCACACAGAGGGAAAAAGGGGACGTAGGAGCACATGGAGGAGGTGAGGGAGCAGGTGGGAGAGTCAACCTCAGGCTGGGAGTCCCAGCCTGAACTCAGTGCTGGTTTCTTTCCTGGGGCACTGGGATCAGGCGGTTGCTCCCAGTTGTCCCTCCTGGGAAGGGAAGCAGGGGGATCTGGGGATATGGTGTGGAGGTGCAGGTGGGAGAAGGTGCCTCAGTGCCTCAAGATGGCTCGTTACGGCGTGAGGCGCCGCAGACTGAGCTCAGCACGGCGCTGGCACAGGAGCAGTGGGAGCTGGCAGCGACGTAGGAGAGCTTTGCTTTTTCCCAGAAAAGCACAAACGAGGGATTTTCAGGCAGCCTGGAGAGCCTGAGGTTTCCCAGCAGTGCTGTGCTGGTGGCACCGAGATGCATTGCTTAACCTCCCCCTGCCACCACCAGCACCACGTTCCCTGGTGCGGCCACCAGGTCACCGAGGGCAGTGGGATTATTGGAAGTGTCTCTCGGAGCTTCCCTGGGAGGGGAGAGGCTCGAGGTGGGCAGGGGAGGCAGCAGATGGGAGAGGCTCCTCCTGTCTCATGGCTGCTGAGCTGTGGGTGGCACGTGGTGTTTTTGTGGTGCTGTGCCCAACGCCTGCGGCTGCACCCGGGAAACTGCTCCTTCCCGGGAGTTAACTCCCTCACGGCTGAGCCTGGAGCTCTGCAGGGACTGGGGCAGGGACAGAGCTGGGGCAGGGGGTCTTGGGGAGGTTCTGTGCCCAGAGGGTGGTGAGCAGCTCCCTAGGGAAGAGGTCACAGCCCCAGCCCTGCCAGAGCTCGAGGAGCACTTGAGCAACACTCTCAGGGACGCGATGGGATTGTTGGAGCTGTGCAGTGCCAGGAGTTGAACTGGATGGTCCTTGTGCTTCCCTTCCAGCTGAGACCCTTCCATGACCCCTTCACTCTCTCCTTTCCCTGTATGCCCCCAAGTGTGGCTCCCCAGACCATTCCCCCATGCTTCCCTTCCCGCTGGGACCGTTCCATGAC